TTGATACAACCAGGTCCTGATGCCGTTGACATGCAAATATTCAAACATCTTTAACATGATGTTGATGACTAAATAGGGCGACCATACAATTTTTGTGTCCAGTCCTGCCCGCTCCTTCAAACTTTCTAATATTGCATATAATGTTTGTGCATCAGGGAGACGCTATCAATATGTGAAATATTTAAATCTGTTTTGAATGAGCGCTCGCCATTCACTTTCGATTTCGGAATCACGCGTGCTCTGTGTAAAGGAAGCACATCTTATGAGATAAGATATTTGTCAGAGCTCAGGATCTGTTGAGCGGCAAATTTCACAGCATGGTCTTGTCCGTGATCTCTCATCTCAACCCGTGATCAGTGAAATCTGACTCCTGCAGTTTGTGTTGGATACAGAGTTGTGCATTTTTTTTTTCATGGAATTGGGCTACTGTTGCAATGGGTTGATTTCCCCCCGTGGGATAAAGGTTTGAAATACTGTATAAACTACATCTGACTGAAATACTTGTATTGAAACCTTTTGCATTCTACCTAAAACTGTGGTAGATGTTAAGTTTTGTGAAGGAGGGCCACTGGTAGAAAGCCTTTTAGCCGTGTTTATGATCAATGTGCATAACAGTGACTGTCCTGTAAAATATGTATTTTAGTTATGGAAATCACATTTTGAGTTTAATATTTTGGATCAGGTCATTGCACTACTTTGGGATGTTTTTGGCTGGCATGGGCTAATTTTGTCACTCAGACCTGGCAAACCTGTCTGTATGGAACAGAGCAGACCCTTTCAGTTTAGAATTGTAGCATACGTTAACTAAATACATATACATATAACTGAACTAAATTATTTTTATTTCTATAAAAAGCTAAATGACAGGGGGGTGCCCCTGTAGGCAAGTAATGTTATCGGTGTACAAAGTCTTATCTAGATTATTATCCCGATCCACTCTGTGAAGGCGCGCATTTATCATTCAAATACACCTCACCAGAAACACGGCGTGTCGCAATCTGTGACGAAGCAGGCGAGAGCCAAGGAGCGTTCGATTATCCTCCTGTAAATCCTGTCATTTCTTGAAGCAGCAACATTTGAATTTAACAAGCGCGTAGTGTTGCCAAATTGGGCGGTTTTGAATTTGGTTGTGCGGGTAAAAAAATGGTTTGGGCGTGTGGACAAAATTTGGGCTGGATTGCGGTCGATTTGGTGGTTTTCAAACATCTAAACTGTATAGGCCTATTGGTTAAAAATCAAAACACACAGTGCTGAGTCGGCTGGTGCTGATGTTGACATTGCGTCCGCTTTTTTAGCCAATCAGGGATCAGCGGACATACGTGATGTTTCATGAGTGACGGGTTTTTAGCGTGATAAGGGATCACATTTTGACCGTATAGCTGTATATTCAAGCTATCACAATGCCAGAGTGGCCTAAATATAAGTTACACGGTAAAGAGTGGGAGAGTGACTCAAAACGTGATTACACCTGTGAAGGCTCTTGATATCAATGTAACTTTGAAATCAGAGCACAGTTAAACAATTTAATCAAAATCGAAACTGAATATGGTACTGTACAATCCTAGCCTGCATCAGAAACTGGTGGACTTGATGAATAGACTGTGCAAAGTTCTGTATTATGTTCTACAGTGTACTTCACTAAAGACGTACTGTAGTTCTGTCTGAAGTTAAAGTGCAACACGAAGGTAAGCGCATTATTGTTGTTAATATTTTTGTTATCGGATTATCGTACAGTATCAATGAATGACACCGTTTTGACTGTCATGTTGTGTGCATGAACGAGTGTGAAATACCTGCTAATTATGTTGCTTTTCCCGATCACTTATACTGGGCACTTTTCCCATTTAAATTGGCTTATTCTGACTGTTAACAGAAAATGTTGCATGTGTTTTTCAGAGGGTATCGGTTAATTTCTTGATTGCCGTTTTGAGATAGGCTGGTGTTTACCTGGACATTTATATTTGGTAATTCTCTTTAATATATTTGACCTGGGAGATGTATGTTTTTTTATATTATTCTGTCATCTTTATTTAGTTTTAAGGAGTTAAAAATGGTCCTTATCAACCTTGATTGACATGGCAATAAAATTATATCACATTATTTTGACAGTTACAGTTTTGGGTGTTTTTTTTTTGTTGGATTAGGCGGGTTTTGGTGAGCTTTTGGGCTGGAAATTGTCCACCCGATCTGGCAACACTGCAAGCGCGTCAGCACGGGTTTTGTTTGCTGCTTACAGTCGCTGGACTCACTGTTCAGGATGGAGAGGAAAATTGCTTGAGTTTTGAGTTTTGGTCTATTCCTCACAGTCGTATGGATTCTGAAGATTTGCATTACAGCGCACAAATAAAATTGATTCCTTTTGCAATTATGTTGAGATTTTGATGTATTTTATGGTTCTATTGTCAGTTGCAGCATGTCAGAGAAAACATGGCAAACAAAGTAAATATTACATTATATAAGTATTGGTTAAACAATTGCAGAAATGTTATTCATTTTAAGGGTTTAAAGTTTAGTCTTGTTTAACATTATGTAGGCCTATTCTTGGAAACGAGTTGGCAGCAGAAATCACAGAACAAAACGAAATTATAATTTCATATTAAGTAAACGAGTAAATTTAATAATGCAATTGAAAACATAAGGCCATTGATATGACAACTAAAAACAACAATAATAAAAAAATTTATGCCACATTTTCAATATTCATAAGGATTTATTTTTAGGTGTTGTCAATACGTCAGTATTGTATGTTTAAAAGCTGAAAAATACTATATAAAATATTTATACTTTTAGAAGCTGTAAATATGTCAGTATTGTACATTTTAGTGTCTGTAAAAACGTAAGTAAATGTACGTTTTGTAGAACCACATTAAAGTAGGGCTGGACCAGAATATTCAATTATTTGAATATCCGTTCAGTGGGTTGGCATTCGATTTTCAATTTTGAGATTTGAATATTCTTTTTTTTTCTCGAACACCTGGCATCCCCCGTAAAACGGTTCTCATTCGTGCTTGAATATGAATCACAAATGAGTGAATGTCATAATTCAGTTTATCTGGAAGAGAAGACAAAAATGCCGGAGACCTCAGCTGTGTGGGAGCACTTTAAATTGAGTGAGGACAAGACAAAGGCAGTGTGCCAAATATGCGATTTGAAACTGGCCTACCACAACAGCACATCAAGTTTGAAAAATCAAGTTAGAAAATGTTAGGCTACCTTATTAAAAGTATTGCTTTTAACAGACCTGTGTGTTTTGTATCACTAGTGCAGTGTCCGTTCTCTGAGCATATAATCCCTACCTGCGTGAGGCACGCCGCTTATGGCTCGCGCTGTTCTGTAGTTTATTGGAAGTTTATTAATTCTGAACATGTCGCATGTCCATATTGCACCAAAATGCGACACTGCACTCCCTTGGGTCTGCAGCAACATACCCACCATGTGTGAAGTGGATTGGATAAACGGTTCTCGACATAATAAAAATGCAAACAGGCAGACAGACACACAGAGATGCCTGCCTTTATTAGAGAGAATAATATGTTCAGCCCCCTCCCTCCGAAGCTTCGGTAGTAATCAACACCTCAAAAAATGGTATTCGGACCAGCCTTGGATTACTTCACCCAAACATATAAATTCAGTCATTATTTATTTGTGTCAACGCTGTTCAATCATTGTTTTTTGTTTTCTGAACGCAAAAGGTGATTTTGTTCAAGTTTGTCCTGCTGGTTTCTGTTCAAACAATATCAGTCAATGGAGCCTGACTTTCAGAAGCTTCATGGCATTATTTGATGATGCTTTTGA